GTGTGTGTGTGTGTGTGTGTGTGTGTGTGTGTGTGTGTGTGTGTGTGTGTGCGTGCGTGAGAGAGAGAGAGAGAGAGAGAGAATGTGAGCGAGAAAGAGTGATAGAATGAGAAAGAATGTGAGTTAGAAAGAGTCAGTGAGTGGGGTGAGTGAGTAGAGTGGGTGAGAGAGGGATTGAGTTGAGTGAGTGAACATTTAAATTTTTTTAACACCTCTGGATTGTATCCAAGTTCAACGTAATTACAAATAACAAAATACTGAATTGTCCTATATTCACCCTATTTCATAAACGACATACCTATGTAAGTGAGATGAATAAGGTTAAAATCAGCAAAATCGTAGCAAATTTTTGATCTTCTATCACCGGATCTAACTTATTAAAAAGAGTTTATGTCCAAATCCCAAATCTCTGTAAAGTTTTCAGTGAATTGGTTGTGTCGTCTTTAAATTATAATGATTTTTGTAATTTTTGGAAAAAAGTTGGAGGGATTAGAAGACCCAATTGACAACTTTGTTTTCTCTCAAAATGTGTTGGGTATTTTTCGGTGTGCAAAAAATATATCAACTTTCTTTTTTTGCTAAAAAAATGTTTAAACCTGCTTAATATTGAAATACACAATTTGTGACCTTGTACTCGAAAAAATTGTTACTTTTTGTACATTAAGTAGAAGCTATAAAGTAAATAGGGATTTTAGTGGGTGGTATAAACGAATCACAATTATTTTAAAAAAATCTTTGCCCGACGTTTTGCCTAAATCGTCTTAAAACATCCAAATCAACTGATATCTATAAACATTGAATTTCATGATCAATCAAAGCAAACAACGATATTAAAAAATGCTATTTAACAACACTTTTTCTCTTTGTGTAAGCACAATTGGCAAGAATATTCAGACATGTGTTTAATAATATTCGTACTAGTGTCCAAAAGAAAGTTCATTAAAATTGTCAGCCCCTTCCATAGAGTTCCCTTGTAAGTTGTAAAGTAAATCGAACTGAGCATGCTTTCTGGTTTCCAGGCGAGAAAATACAACCATAATCAGCTGAAATCGTAAGCTTGTTGGCTTATTATTATCCAACCCTGACCTCTCCAAAGCCACACACTTAAGACAGCTTATGTACCAACCAGTTATGTTAAGTTCTAAGCCTTTAAAAGCTCATCATGTGGCCAGAGAGAAGTTCAACCATCTAATTAATTAATTGTTAGTTTCTTTTCCTTGGCCTAGTTTGTTGAGTTTTCAGAATTCAATACAGTTCAGAAGTTCACTAGTTTTCGTGGTCCACTAGACCAATTAATATCTTTCAATTAATTAAGGTTTTTAGTTAAGATAAAAAACATTTGACATTTGAATTATGGGAAAAAAAGGGAAAATTCAAAAGGTGGGGTTGAGATAGGAAGTTTGTGCCGAGTAGATCCCGATAGCTCAAGTGGTAGAGTAGCGGCGTATCTAGCCGAAGGTCGTGGGTTCGAATCCCGCTCGTGACACTGACTTTTTTATCTCAACTAAACCTTAATTAATTGATAGTTCAGAAGTATTAACAAGTTGTAAAATAGGTCTTGTATCATCAAACTTCACATAATCATTATATGTAAATTAGGCAATTAAGCAAAAAATAATATTATATATATATATATATATATATATATATATATATCAAACTTCACAAAATCATGATAAATTATTTTTTGCTTAATTGCCTAATTTATTAAAACATAAGCTATAATATAAAATGTAAAACATTATTGGGATTAGTTATTTCTTACTTTTTGTCACATACTCAGACTTGATATTTTCGAAGCACAAAGGTAGCTAAATAGCAAATTTTAGGAAACCGAGTAATAATAACCGTGAAATCATAGAAGGACGGGAGGAGGCCTTTGAAATTTATTGAACGGGATGGAAACAATTTACGAGATGGCCATTAATTTGAGATTACTGTTTTCAGACAACGGGGTCGGAATTTTATGACTGTGCCGTCAAGTTATCACGTAATGATTTAGAACAAATTTAACCCTGGGGCATTGTCAAGTTTGAATAGTACAACTTTAAGTGTGTCAAGTTCAGTCCAAATTAGAATAAAGTTTGAGTTTTATTGGAACTAATAATAAACAAAAATATAGTTCTCATTGTGAACGATATATGAGTGATATTTATTTAAGAAAATATTTCCTTTCTCTTGTTTAGTTTTACGCCAAAAAAGTTGTTGATTTCGGAGATTGGACATACAACATTCAACAAGATTTTTCACCATTAATGCTCATCTTGTCGATCAAAACTGAGCGGGTTAGACAGAGAGAAGTGTGAAAGGAGGGTGGAAGAGATAGTGATGGAAGGATGAGGGAGGGGGAAGAGGGGAGAGAGAGAGAGAGAGAGAGAGAGAGAGAGAGAGAGAGAGAGAGAGAGAGAGTGAGTGAGAGAGATGGAGCGAGTGAGTGAGGGAGTGAGAAAGATTGAGAGCGTGAGTGGTAGAGTGGAGTGAGTTAGTTATTGAATGAATGAATGCGGTTTTATTATTTAGTGTTTAATGAGCCTATGAGTAACAGAATGGGAGGGAAATTGGAGTCAGTGAGGGAGTGGGAGATAGGGTGTGTTAAAGACAGTGGTGAGTGTGAGTGGTGTGTGACAGAAGCAGAGAGAGGGGGTGAGGGGGAGAGAGAGTGAGAGAGAGAGAGAGTGAGAGAGAGAGTAAAAGAGAGAGTGAGAGAGAGAGTGAAAGAGAGAGTGAGAGAGAGAGTAAGAATGAGAGAGAGAGAGTGTGAGGGAGTGAGAGAGAGAGTGAGAGAGAGAGTGAGAGAGAGAGTAGAAAGAGAGTGAGAGAGAGAGTGAGAGAGAGAGTGAGAGAGAGATAGACAGACAGAGATTGGCGTGAGTTATAAAATGAGTGGAAGTTTAAAATACTTACTATTTTAAAAAGATACTCACTAACAATTTTGAGCTTTATTGAAACTATTACTAGAGAAAACGTTTCTTTTTTTAACGATGTATAGATGTAATTTATTGAAGAAAAGAGTATGTTTATCTTCCTTAATAATTTTTTTCATCAAAAGATTATATTTGTGCAAATAGATTGGTTTTCGCGGTCTCTTAGAAATTTTTTTGACTTTGAAATATCGGCAAGATTTTACACCATTAATGCTCAATTTGTCGTTCAAAAATTTATTAAAGAATAGTGAAAAAACGCAGTCGAAATTAATTGTGACGTACTGGGTTCATTTTCCACTTTGTCCCTCGCTTTGGCCGGCACTTATTAATTATAGGCGAGGAGGGGTAGAAACCGCCCAGGGTTTAAGAATTATTCGTTATAAGAAACCCCTATAAATCAACCGAAAATTTAATTTATAACAAAAAGGACTCGCCAGTATTTTTCCACCCTTTTTCAATCCTTTATATCAGTTAGGAGTAAATTGTGATGAATTAACTTCTTTTTTTTTTTCGGTCTCGAGCGGCTTTCCCTTGGAAAATGTCAAAGGCGTTTGGACATTTCCCATAAACTACTCGTACTCAGAGATAATTCTGATTAGTCTTCCAAGGAATTGCGTCATACTTTCTTTGTTTTTTACCCTTGGTCCACTGGTGATTATACTGACCTAAAAGAACTATTCTGAAATTACCTTTCTTTATTTCCATACTCCAGAAAGTGTACTACACTTAGGATAAGAAAGGTCTTTTCAGGGTTCTTCTTCAATGTTATTCTGGCAATCTTTAAGTTAATCGGTTCTGCAAGATTTTTGCAATTTTTCGCTGTTATGCTGGTTATCAATAATTAGTAATCAGTATTTTTTTGAAAAACTCCTTAATAAGGATTGCCATCTTCACTGTAATGCTTTGTTAATTCAGATTTCTCGACATAAAGTAACAATCGTTTGTCATAATCGATATTTTTCTGAACTATTCATGTTCAAAAAGAAACCATTGTTTTAGGGTAGAAAAATACTTTTGTACTGTCATCCTGTTTCTCAGTAAGTAATGTTTCTCTCATATGAGCGATATTTCTTGAAAAATTCTGTAATTAGGCTTGATATATCATCCCAGTAGTTTTTACTTTGAATAATAATAAATTGGCGTAATCGATATTTTATGAGTTATTTATATTCAGAGAAGAAATACGGTTGCAGTTAAAAAATATATCCTTTTTTACTGATATCCTGGCTATTAATAAGAAGTATTCGATTTGGTACGAACTTTAATTTTTCATAGCGTAATTTGGCTTGCCAATGTTTCTTCGCAGTATTATTTTGGACTAGGTAGGTCTACAAAAATCTTTAGATCTCAGGTTCGAAACTTGATGGCATCAGGTCTAGAGATTTTGCTAGGTTCGAATTTATAATTTGTTGAAATCGTGAGGAGCGGTCAAGAATGAGGTAGTTTAAAAAAAGCACCTTTTTCGTGTTTTTTTTTGCCGACGTTTCGACTTTTATTCGGTTCATATTCAGGGCCTTGGTAAATTACAAAACGTATGTTAATTGGAAAAAATACAATTTTTGATGTACGTATAAAATTTGAACCAAGTATTTCATACTATTCAACATTTGTATGTACATCTTAAATTGTATCTTTTTTTTTTTTTTTACAATCCATGAGTATTGTAATTTACCCAGGCCTTTAATATGACCCGAATAAAGGTCGAAACGTCGACAAAAATGAAATCAACAAATTATGAAACAACAGGTCACTAACAATGCTACAATTTATGTTTTTAATCCCTGTACATACCTATTACAACATGTTCCCTTACTCTTGAATTAAGTATTTATTTTTCAATTATTTATTCATTTCAGGAAACAATATGGTAATAATTATAAAAGTCCATTAGATTAGATTGTCCATTAGATGTGAATGATCTTATACTTTTTTCTTAAAAAAAAATATTCTTTTTTTGTCGGACAAAAACCAAAATTTAAATATTTTATGTAGGATTTTGTTACTATACCATTATGTTATTTTTATTTGTTAAACCATAAAAATGATAATTGTAATTATTATTGTTATTTTTTACAGAAAACATTGGGACAGATCAACTAATAGCAACAGGACTTCAACCACTGCGTCGGTAAGTACAGTTGATTCATATAAAAATTAATATAATTACTTCATCTAAAATATACATAGTAATTACCCCAGTAATCTTGTCCCCATTTGAATCTTATCAATATCAGGAATATATATCATACATTATTATAGTTCGTGTAGTTTTTTTTTTATTTTTTTTTATTTTATTTATTTTTTTTTTTTTAAATTAGCCTTATGATCTTTTGCATATTAGCCATGACGAATCTCTTATATATGTTGTTCAAATTGGGGGTTATCGGGAAAAAAGGGCCAGAGGCAACGGTGGGAATCGAACCCACGACCGCGGCGTGAGAGTCTCTCATGCTAACCACTCAGCTACCGCGAGCTACCGATAATTAGTTAGATCAATAATTGTAGAAATATGTTTTTCATAATGTGAAATTAATATAGGCCCTGATGATGACCTTAAAGTTGTCGAAACCTTGGCAGTAATAACTGAATTTGCTTTTTTCTTATCATTTCTTTTATTTAAATAACAGTCTTAATTCGTTCGTAGAATCTCGGTAAGTTTTTGTTTATGAGCTTAGTACAGTAGGTAAGAAGTTAAAAAATTTCTTCTTTCTTGAAAAACGCGAAATACTTTTGTGGGAGAGTCAAAGACAATTTCAGTCAAAAGCCAAAATTGTGTTTTCAACTTTTTAAAACTAAAATCAATAATTATAACCATTCATCATTCAAATTCCCTCCTTTCAAAAATATCGCAGCAAATATCACAATCCATATTCCTCAATTATGTTGAGTGCCATACCAGGGGACAAAGTAATATTGGGTGACGAAAAAAACAGAACATTGGCCAGAGGAGGATCGCCAAGGCCATTTCTAGTCCCTGAACCTATCCTCGGTATAACAAAAGCAAACACAGAATGGATCTACAAAAGGCGAAAGAGAAGTGAGTACACTGTAGAGGGGCTAGGCCCACCCAATAAGCTTGTGCTAAAACAACCTCACAAACACTGAATGGCAAACTCACATAATATCAGCATTTACAAAATATGGGCATGATGATTTGTAGATTATGCAATAAGGAGGAAGAAACAGCTACCCATTTAATCTTAGAATTTGAAGCAAACGCTCAATCGAGACATAACCTGGGATTCAAAGAAGACCCAGGGAATGGAATTGCACAACGTCAGTCAACGTCACAACTCCTTAAAAGAAGGATCAAGTCAGTTGAACTAAACTTAAAAATTAAATAACCACAATAAGCCAGAAGGCTGCAGTGCTTGCGGAAAACCCCCACTTCTTAGTACCCTTGTTTATCATCCTCATCATCAACATATAAAAAGTCCATAATCGATAGCACACTTGTAGAACGGTACAGTCAGAGATTGATTAATTGATTAAACGTTTTATTTAACTACGCAAAGTTAGGTTTCGCGGACCTTTCTTCCACTTAACGTGAGTTAAGTCGTACGTTATACATTATATGTGCAATTTATGCAGACTCTTTTTGTTTTCACAATTTATTTTCCAAATAGAAGAGAAAGAGAGAGAAAGGAAGAGAGAGAGAGAGAGAGAGAGAGAGAGAGAGAGAGAGAGAGAGTGAGGGAGAGGGAGAGAGAGAGACATGGAGGGAGGGAGGGAGTGAGGATGATAGAGAGAGGAAGTGAGGGAGAAAGAGAGAGACAGGGGAAGGAGATAAAAGGTAGGAGAAAGAAAGAGTGAGAGAGAGGAGGGAGGGAAGAGAATGAATGCTGCGTTATTTAGAGTCACAATATTTACTGTCTTACTTTTCTACTCTAGCTTTTATAGATATCGGATAAGTGACAGATGGAGAGAGAGAAGAGATGGTTTTGGTTGTGAATAAAAAAAAATATATAAAAATAAAAAAAATAACTCCATGAACTATCCGTGGTGTTGAATTCTCTACGGTAACGGTTCTTGGTTCGAAACACAGAATTGTTCATGGAAGGGCAAACATGAAAAAACAAACGAAAAACAGCATTGTAAAGTGACTGACCCGTCCTCCACCACACAGAATGGGTAGCTGGATGTTGAGCGTCCTGTATGGCAGGAATTACTTAACCATTTTTTTTTAATATAATCATTTTGAATTACAAGCATTCACGGAGGTTAGAGACTTGATTAATCATTTATAAATTTACGGGCTTATCATTACATGAAATTACGTTTGGTATGGTAGTCTACTTTGATTTCCCTAAGGAACCTGTTAATTGAGAATTCAATTAATTTTAGATGTCAAACATTATCACAATGCCCTGTTCATTTCTAAATGTAATATCATGTTAAAATGTAGGCTTTGTCTCATCTAAAAGTATGCCAAAATCATTAAAATTATCGTATATTTTGTATGAAAATCTAGACTCTTTAATCAAGCGTCACGTATTTTAGCCGCAATCAATTTGCCAAATTTTTTTTGGTAGCTTGACAAATTGGGAAAGGGTGGGTGGCGTTCTGTAATTTTGCAAGTAAACGTCAGTGTAAAATATTGCCCTGTATGGGTCCGCTGGAAAAAAAACCGAGCTTGATGGTCTCCCCCGTTCTCGCTCCCCTTAAGAAAAGTAACAAGGAGACTTTTTCTCTTTTATATAGTTTTTTTTTAACAAACGCGCCCCTTCGTCGTAGCAATAACAGGACAGCCGGGCGCGGGGAGTTCGGAACATCATCAGAAAATCATCAGAACCTCATCACGGGCCGTGTTGCGGGAAGGACGTATGTCTCTTCTGTTTCTCTCTCACGTAACAATAAGATAAGCCGGGCGAAACATTTCGCACTACAATATCCAGAACTTTACTTCTGGGTCTATCAAATTTCACATGGGTAAACATCGAGGAAGTGTTTCCGAGCGGGAAGGGGAAACATAAAATTCTCGGCCTAATCTGTCGAGGTAGGTCAAATGGGGAAACTTCTAATCCATTTCCACGGTTGAAAGAGGGGAAATGTACATGATTTGGCGTTAGGTTTGAAATTATTTCAACACAATTTAAATATTATTTTATCTATAAAAAAATAAATGTTTTCCGAAAAGATCTTGACAGTAAATTACGCTTTGATAATTAACATTTATTTAAACATTAATTGTTAAAACAAAGGAAAGCAAAATTACAATTGTAAGGTCAATTTCCACTCATTAATATAGAAATCATAAAGATCAATTATGACTTGCTTTGATATCAAATTGTTAATTAGAATTTCTAGATTATAAAAGAAAAGTTATAATTTTTTTTTAACGAGGGTTCGCAACAGCAGAGGTTATATAAACACTCAGGGTGCTAGTGTTTTTGAAAAAAAAAGCCCATTTGTTAGTATGTCGAATTCGAATGCAGGGCCGCTAGATTAAGTGCGTTAACTTGATGGAAGTTCATAAACCCGTTAGGAAAATTCTTTTCTGTGATTTGAACGTCAATAAAAACCACTGCTAGTTCTAACAAAAATGGTCCCTTTTATGGATTTACAAGTTTCCACCGTAAAACTGCATCTTTTAATCTTTAGTCACACGGGTAAATTTGAGTCAAACACTTCCTCAATTTGGCTCTTTGGTTTTTATGCTAGGAATTATTTCGTCGAGAAAATCTATACCTTAGTTCTATGTTGGATTTTTTAAATAAAAAATTTAAACGGAATCAAGTTATCTAGAATTCGTCTTTTTTCAGGCTATTTCAGAAATTTTTTTATTTGATGTCATTAACAATGAGAAAAATACGAAATCAACAAAAATTTCTCAAACTTGTTTTTGAACCTCAAGTTCAAATTTACGCGATATGAGCTATTACAGGTTATGGTTCTAAACCCTACTTATAGTTTTAATGAATTGGTACATTCCTTTCTGAGATATGATAATTTTTTTGGCTTTTGAAAAAATCAAGAAAAGCAAATCATTAACAAGTTACAAAAATCGACAGACGCCTCCAAAAGTGAGAGAGTTTTCGTCGTTGAAAAAAACACAATATAAATTTATTTTTAGCATCCCTTAAGTCTCTTAAATACAATATGAATTTCCTTTACAAATACTGTAACTTGTATTAGCTCAAACCGCGTCTATGTAAATCAATTTGTACCTGAAATAATAAATAAAAGGTTTGAATTGTTGTTGATTTTTCCTTTATTTTTCTCACTGTTCCTACATCATATAGAAAGATAGTTAAAATATCCTGAAGAACAAGAATTCTTTAATCTTATGATTGCAATAACTTTCCTTTTGGATAAAATCCAGAGGAGTTATCAATTTTGTAATTGATTTTTGAGAACATCCCAAGAATATTTTTTAGATTTTTTTAAAACTAAATTTGGCCTACTTTGCCCTTGTTGTATTGGTTTTACCCTCGGTGTGTTGGTTTGTCATGTCATCTTCAGTGGGTGTTTTTCATACATGGTGAGAAATGCCAAATCACATTAAGATTTTCTTTTGTTTTACATAAAGAGTTTCAAAAGGTTTCTCTGAATGAATCAATTTATCAACATTTTATTTATTCATATATAGAAGAATATAATTATAACAGCAATTATGGTTCCTCCCGTGTAATTTTCGCATCGATGGCATGTCGAAAATCATAATTATGTTGTAATTAATGGGAGTTAGAACTCCTGGTACAGGTAGATCGATTGGCGTACGCCGGAATCTGTGCTACAGTTTAACATTTTGCCCCCCAAAACGTGCACTAATTCAAAAGCTCGGTATTTCTGTTTAAAAAATCGTACCGAGTTAGAAAGAGTTTTTAAAGAGGTTTAAATATTAATTTTATATTCAGTTTGTGTAAAGGCGAAAACAAAGAAATGGTTGTTGACAAGTCCCCAAGCTGTAAGTTCCATCTGACGCACAAATTTATCCTCAGTAGCAGCGTCAAATGGATAACATAATGGAAATTGTTTTTGCCATCCAGATTTGTACCTTTGTGTGCGAAAAAAATCAGTATTACAAGTATCGACCACTTTTTACTTACGAACACTCTGAATCAATGTATGGTTTTGAACAAGAAAGCAAATTAGTTGCTAGTACCAAGCTTTTGACCTATTTTACGG